AGCTCGAACACGCTGATTGCAGACCACCGTTTCCTCCTCGACGATGCTGCTTTGTGAGAGTCGCGGTAACACGGCCACTCTATCACGACGTGCAAAATCCTTAATTATTATGCAGCAAGGTGAATCAGGAATCCGGATAATGCCAACAGTTCAACTGCCGTACATACTGGCCACGTACGTAAGGGTATCCAGCGGAACGGTTCCCGACGACGGCGGAGTCCCTAAAACCGCAGTGACCTCCAATTATCCTGTGGGTACCGCGTGGCCCACGGTTGTACCCATGCTCCCTAAGGACCGTCCCGCAAACACCCCTATGTCGGTCTCCTCGCTGGCCTATAACGCCCCCGTCGGATTAATTCATTATTAAAATAACCCCACCGGCCGTACAAGCTTGTTATCATCTTCTATTAGAGGCGGAATAGCGCGAAATCGAATTAGAAATCTGGTTTTCGGAGGTGACTTCCCTTTTTTCTCCTTGCCCTTGAATAATTTCACTCTTGTTAAAGGGATACAGCACTCGGGAGGGTTTGTCCCTTTTGAAATAATTCAAGGTTTCAGGTATACGGGAGACGTGTTCATCAAGGCAAATGGATCATCCCTTCGAGACAAATGATACGCTCAATTGGACAGGGTTTACGGAAACTCCGGCAGGGTCTGGGTCTCCGGTATATCCGGCAAAATCAAAAGTCCTCATTAGGTATTCCGAGGTCGGAGAGGGTGTGCCAACCCTCTCGTCTTCTGCCCAAAGACAGTAGAGGCCAAAGGTTGCCTAAGACCGGACATTTCAATAAACCCTAGCAAACGCGCGTGGGTTTAAACCTCTGACCGCGACCAGTCCTGGTCAGCAGCTTCCTTCTCGTCGAGTTGCGCATGTTCTCACGTCTATCCCTCCGGGCCACGCTCGAGTAACCGACGATCGATCGATCTTACTCGAGAATCGCGACAGACGTCCCCGCGCGCTAGCCCTCTATCGTCGGAAACGTCTAAGAAAATGTTAGGTACACATTCGACGGGGAAATCTGTGTTCGGGAGAGATAATAGAGGGGAGCAGATTTTCAACCAACGAGCTATTAATAAGTGAATAATGCCGAAGGGGAGATAAGTGGTAGTCGAGGCGCATCAGAGTAGACGATAAAACTTTCTTTTTCCCAGGGTGACGCTATCCACCACCGTCGACGTTCCCCGGCGCACGTCGATTCTCTCGAATTAGCGAAATCATTTCCGGGAAAAACTTTTCCGTGTCTCGCGTCCACGGTCACTTTCTCCCCGATAAATCTATCTCCCCTTATCGTGGTTCGCGATTGCTCCCCCGCCTCTCCTCCCTGCGTTTCCTCGCAAAAATTCGATCCGGAACTCCTCCGGTTCGTCGTCGAAATAATCCGACGTGGAAACGAATTACGAACTCGACCAGAAGCATGTCGCGCGTTCTTAACAAACTTCGTTAACAAAGTACGGGGATCGAACGGAAGAGAACCCACGATCCGTAAGAATAGATGGATTCTAATATATCTTCTAATACGAAGGAATTTTCCCTCCTTGAAGAGAAACATGTCGCAGGGAAAGATTCAACGAAACATCCCCTCTGAAGATCTCCGTAAAAAATGAGTCGCGTAAAACGTCCCTGCTGAAAACCACCGTTTCTAACAAGAGAAATACATCTGCCACGATGAAATTACACAGAAGATCCCTTACTATTAAAACTTCATACGAGGAAATTTCTCCTCTCCTCGACCATCGTTCCACGTGATTCGAATAAGCCGCGGAAAAATATTCCCCGCATTTTTCATCAGCGCGGAACGAATTGTCTCGATCGCGTCCGCGTTCCTCTCGTCCGGCTTTAAAACTTCATTTCCCGGCGTTCATTTCCGAACCCTCCCTCCGCCACGGTTGTTCCTTTCCGGCGCGACAGGAGTGCCTGGCAAGCGCGCGCGAGCGCGCCTCTCTGTGTGCACTCGCCCTTCCTTTTGTCTTAGAGGCGATCCAGTTCCGTAGGAGAGTTTCCCGGATGGGAATCGGCGAGCATCGGCCCGATCACGGTTCATTTCGTTCTACTCTCTCAACCCCACGCGATTTTTCCTCTTGCAGAGGTCCGCTGGCCGCAACCGCCTCTGCTGGCCTTCCTCCACGTCCAGACTAGCCAGGAAAAAGGAGAAAATAGTCGGGGGTAGACGGTCCGTACGAGCCCATAAAAATCACGCTCCTCTTCTTTCCCCTTCAATGCACGGGATTATTGACTTTGCGTTCGTAGGCCGAAAACTCCCGACCAATCTGCCAGGTTGTTCTTTCGTAGATTGAGGCCGCGCGGGTCGCATATTGGATCAAGATTCGCCGGAAATAGGAATATTTCTAGGCCGAGAGTCCCCGGTGTATAAGCTGGACCTCTTTATTGCGCCGATTCGACGGAGGATAAATTTCGGAAGCTACGATACTCCGCGATTGTCTACCTTGTATTTTTCTATTTGTTAGAACGTGGGAGAGAAAGGAAATACGGTGTCCCAAATTAGAGAAACGTTAATTTTCCTTCGGTTTCACACGAACTCTATCGATAGGAGGAAAACGAGGAGAAAAGTGAAGCACCGTGGCCAATCTGAAAACGCGTTCGGTTTCCCGCGGACTCACGGCACAATTTGCCAGGCAAATGACGCTGTCGACTCGAAACAGGAGTTTGTACTTAAATGATGAAACCAGAGCGCAGCTTTGTCGCATAGGTTGGAAGCCAAATTGGAAGCCGACAGCGTGGCTCGAAAGTACCGACGGCTACTGTACAGACGGACAGACGGATAGAGGAGCTCCACTAAAATCTCTTGCATCCGTTAAAACGCGCACATGCAACAGAGAGGTTACGGCAGAGACGGCTCGCGACTAAACGAGCAGAAAGCCAAAGCAAACCCACGTTTGGCCAGTATTCGACGCGTCACCGGCCGGTTTAATTACTCTCTTCATAGAGACACTACATATTCGACTGTTTGTGAGGTGGCCAACCGTGCTGGACTGGCACGCGCGCGCGCGCGCGCCTCCACCTCTCTCGTAGAAACGATAATTACACGGACAAAGCACGGCTCTTCCATTGGCGTGCGACTGTCACCTAATCCCGACATCCATTCTTCCTGCTCGATTACGTTCCATTCGATTTGCGTTCGTCGATGTCTTACCAGGCTTTGCTTTGCCCGCGGTAAAAATACGCACCTCAAAGGAGAAAGCTAACGCCGATCCTACTGTGGAGGTTCGATCGACATCGAACAGAGATCGATACTTTCACGATCTCTCGCAGAATTTGCGGAGCTCTTGAATAAAAAATGGCGAGGGTAAAATCTTGAAGAATCGAGAAACATGTACTTTTTTTCTTGGACTTTGAACGAATGCAATTAGGGCTAATAATCTTGCAAGTTGTTTAAGAAACATTGAAAAATAATTTCCAAGGATAATCGCACTTTCCGTTCAAAAATTCCATTTCCCAGGCAAGCACAAGTTCCCGCACATCAGAACTAAGTGGAATAAATCCAGCGCGCGGTATTCTCCGGAGGCGTCAGCGAAACAACGCGGCTCGTCTTTTAAAGGCGACAGCTTCGACCGTCGTTCTATCTTCCTCAACCACCCACCGATCTCGCCCCGTTTTAATTAGCTCTACCGGCCGGTAAACAACAAGCCCGCATTTCTGATGAATTAATTTTCAACAATTCCGGCCGGGACCAAGGTCTGGCTTACGCACCGTCGTGGTTAGGTTCATTGCGAGCTCGTCGCTCGCTTTTATTCCACGGCAAGAGGGATCCGCGTCTCGTCGCGTAACGAGCATCCCCGTCTGCGTAATACTATCTGCCTATCCCGTGGCTTCCAGAAATTTCTGGAATGCGCGATCTCTCGATGCTGCTGGAAACAAGTCTCGAATAACGTCCACGCGTTTTCCATTCTTCGCTGTTCCGAGGAACAAACGGGGGAATATTTTCTCTGCAAAGTGGGATTACTGGGACCTGGTTCTCTCGCGGCGACAATTTCGAGTAAAGCATTAGATTCTAGACTTGCTTTTATACGTTCGCTGCTATTAGAAAATCGATAGTACGCTCTGGACCGCATATGCTGCGTCGATGGTAGCGAATATCTCTTCTTTCGCCTCTGTTCTTCTACATTTCTGATCTTTTCTAAATTTTTATTCGAACTTAAGCTCTGTCAAATTTTCCTTGCGTTTATCTCTTTTTTGCCTTATATTTCAGGTGAATATTATACAGACACTTGAGTTTTATCTTTCAGAGAGGCGAAACATTAAGCAAGAAGTCGGGATTATTTATGGGTTGACCTAATGCAATCCCCCGTTGTTCGCGATCGATCGCGAGAACGGTTCCGTTCGGGGAAAGAGCGCGGGCGAGGGTTGAACGGTTCACGGGGCGAATATTCAAGCGAGCGGGTAATCGCGGTAAGAAGGACGCGTCGCGATGGAAGAAAATCCGAGCGAGAACGGGAAGAGGAAGAGGAAGAGAGCGAGGTTGAGGTGGAGAGACGGCGGAGGCCGCGGCTTATAGCGGCGCGAGACGCCTCATCTGCATTTCAAATCGGCCGCCCTTTCGCCAAGATTTCCACGCGGCACCATGGACGTCCGTGCGACCGTGCAGCCGGCCTTCCAATACCTAGGAGAGAGAACTGGTCGCGTGTATACGTGCCACGATGGAATCCGATACGGATGGATTCGGGATCGCCGTGAGGTCGTTTCGGCTGATCGAGTGCGCCGCGCGGATCTCGCCAGAACGATGGTCGAACGAGCCGGAAGCGGAAAGCGTTTCCGTTCGGGAATGGAGTACACGTGTTCCTGTCCCCGATTAAACCGTTAAGGTGTGCAAGTGTTATCTTGCGGCTGACGAATGGCATCATTCGGTCGTCGATGTAGCGTGTTTTATGTGCTCTCGATGAAAGTTCGGAGAGATAATGGATATTATTATCGGACAAATGCTTGTGGATTTATACAGTTCATTTAGACGGAAGCGATCTGTATTTAGATGCAAAAAGCTTACCTTGCCGACTCCGGTGAGCTCCTTCACGCCTATCCTACGCAGGAGAGCAGGCGGTGCAGGTGGAGGAGACTTGAGTAGGAGAGCCGCGTATCCATTTGGAAAAATAGATTGCTCGTCAGAGCCGATGTTCTCGTCGCCTGAGCGACGTCGACGATGGGGGCTCGACGAGAGGTTCAACTTTTGTGCTGCTCTGTAATACAAAAGAAACTTGGCATTATTCATTGGTCACATCCACAAAAATGATCTCCCACAGCGTGAACCCCCGAAGAAACCCCTATGCACACCAGCTATCCAACACGTCTGATAAACTCTTCACACAGTCGAGAAAGCAAGAATCTACAGGAGGCACGCAGCGTGAAACCAGGGAACCGCTTAAATCTCAGGAGAGTACCACCTACACAGACGGCCGTTCGTTCCTTCGTCTCGAACGTTTCCTGCGATGCCTATCTCGCAGATACGGAGGTGCCTCGCTCCATAGAATCGTAGGGTAGCGCTAGATTCCGGAAGGTATGTGTCTCGAGGGTGACTGGGTGACATACTCCGCGGGGCAGCCCGGTAATCAGCGGAGGTAATGTGCCGGAACCCCGCGTGCGCGCCAAGGTACCGTGTTTAAAGGGGTGCACAGAATCGCCGCGCGAGCGACAGAGAGGGACAGAGGATGGCGAAGAGGTGTAACACTGGGACCATAGGGCTCAGTTTCGACGGGGACGGAGGAACGTTCCACAGGCTGGGTCGCCCCAACTTCTCCAGCCCTCGGGCCTCGTTAACCCACGCTCTGTGAAATTGGAAATACCAACGAGAGAGCTAACACCCTCTCTCTCTCACTCTATACTATAGAGTTAGTCCCCTAACGTTGCGGTATACGCATGCAAGCATTCGCGACCATCCTGTGGAGCGTCATAAAAAATAGAAAGGACCGCGAACAGAGGAGGGGGACACGGACCGGTTATCAAGGTTTGCGCGAGTCTTCCGGCTGCATTACGCGTCCGAATAATCCGCGCCGTTTGCCGCGCTCCTCCATGGACCGAGGCTAATAGTCTCGCGAGGAGATACCGTTGCTCGTGTGTACTATGACTTTTTTAACGCGACTCTCGCTGCTACGACGACGCGACGTAAAAAATTCGTTAGCCGGCTCTCGAGCGGCTCAGTTGGCGGAGATAAATTTTTCAAGCGACAGCATGGCGCTTCTCTGTTGGCTTGATAAAAATGTTCCTACATAAGCTCCGGGATTTATGTAATTTACAATAGGTTTTAGAGAATTTTTTGTTTCCAAAGAAAGCCTTTTTCGATGGAAATTCGCGCAATTTCGCGGGTGTTGCGCAGCGTTTCCACGGGAAGATAGTTAAATTTTCATTCAATTAACGTTTCTTCCCATTCGAAGCAAGGCTCTGTTTGGGTTTGCATCGAATAGACGGAAATCGAAGTAATTTCACGTGTGTTGCACAGCTTTTTCACAGGAAGCTTGTTAAAATTTCATTCAGTTAGCGTTCCTCCTCTTTCGAACAGCACAATTTCACCAAGGCTCCGTTTGGTTTACATCGTACAGACGGAAACCGGTGTAACTTCCCACCGAGTTTTACACCTCTTTCGCAGAGGCAGATTGTTAAAATTGAATTCGTTCGATACAGTTCCGACGATCGTTCACCACAAATGTCATCGCACAGTTCAGTCCCAACTTGCTCGAATCGACTACTCACCCCGATCCGTTTCAACTTTTACGCCCGTTTTAATTGTTCACCGTTGGCACGGTGTTAGTTTCGAGCGTGGAGTTTACGAACCAGAACTCGAAACGAACGAATCGCCGCTACTCGGATTCACGAGCGGTTTTTAACGTCGCTTTTTTCTTCTTTTTTTTCGCTCGTCGACGACAATTTTTCGGCCACGCTCGACGACGCGTGCAACTGGCCCGCCCGTCGGGACTCGCGCCGCGGCGTCGATAATCGAGGCGTCAACGATACGTCGTTTCGACCTGCACACACGTACCTACAAAACGGCGGATTCGATTAAATTAAACTGTTGGACAGGGTATATCTCGGATGACCGGTTCGTCCGCCGCGACAGACGGCGAACCAGCGCGAGAAACTTATTTTACTCGGTCAAATATTTAAACAGGGAAAGTAAGTTCGAGTCGGAGGGAAACTTGGGATACTTTGCGACAGCCAGACGCCAGAGTCAACAGTATGATCGGAGAAATGTAGTTTGCGAGAAAGTATACCCCTTCCCTACTCCATGCGTCACTTTTCTTTCCGACGTTTGCTTAATTAATTCTGTTAATATTTAACCTGTTGTCAAGGGGAGAAAGTTGCTGTTCGAAAATGTGTTACCAAGATACACTCTAGGCGGCTTTTTCTCGACGAATCGATGGTACAGGAAGCGTAGAACGAGTCTCTCCCTCTCTCGGTTTCTAGCACTGGGTTACTTGGCAGAAATTAGCATTCGTAGACCTGTTGCAGCCAGTGAGACTCCACTTGAACCGGGAAGGAACTCTGACGAATATTGTTGAACTTGCAGCCCGTGCAAGAACACTTGTGGAAAGCTCGGTAGTATACTTGCAGGTTGTAGAAACGTCACGTAAACAAGAACAGCCTCGAGATGAAGTGTACCCATTCGAGGATGTTCTACGTGGAGTTGGCTAAATAGGACGAAGATGAGAGAAAGGGTCGTTAACGGTTGGGCGAACAGGAGTATGGGAAGGGTTTTTCCGTCTTGAAGTAGAGCGGAGGGAAAAAATCGGTCGTTCCTTTCGTCAGCCCCGCGACTCGTTTCGAGAATCTGAAAACGAAGCGGAGAAGCCGGGGGACGCAGGTGCTCGTCGCGCAAATGCAATCTACGCATCAATCACGAGGAACAGATGCGTACCGCGCGTTCTCAATCTTCGGCGGAAGGTCATTTTCCCGCGCGCCTGTAATCGATGAACGCTCGTTATGTCGCGGATAAAAACACTCTACCGCTTAACACTTTACCGACCGGTAGCGGTTGAACATTCTACGCACTTTCGACCGGTCACTCAGCCACAGATGCATCGGTGACAGCGGCTCTGTTTAGACTCTAGGCTATTGCGCGAGAACATACGCGCTTTTTCTTATACCTGTAGAAATATTAAATCAAACTTTGACCGGTTAATAGGCTATCGGTCGGTAAGTACGTTTATCTTTACGAAATACTGCGACGTTAATGTACTATTCGCCAAGTTCGTTTGCATGCAAATTCGCGGATTACACAATGCACTGATTGCCGGGTGAAAAGAAGTAAGATTCGGGAGTGCAGTGTGTATCTACCAGGAAAACTTGAAACCTAACTTTTCGAAGGGAAATTTGAAGAAAACTTGGATTTTTCGAAATTTTGCAAATTTATAGGATAGCTCGATAGAAATATCAGACAATTTTTCTATTCTTCAAAATGAGTCTCAAGGTATAACTCCCAAAAATTTAAAAAATTTTTTTAAATTTGATAAAATCGAATGTAAGGCACTGTCGCGTCGCGTTCTCTTGCGATGTTCAAAAGGAAGCTCGCGGTCGCGTCTGTTACCCGCCAAATTAATTTTGGGTAACTAGGAACGTAGCAAAACGTAAAGTCTCAAAACGATGTCTCCTCAAACGGCTGGAGATCTAATGGTGTTCGCTCGATAGAACCTTTTCGAATCTGTCGCTCGATCGCCGAATTTTCCTGGAGTCCGCAGTGACTCCCCCGCCAAGTGCAAGAAGGCACGCTGATTGCTTTTTCACGAACGTACCACCCTTCCATTGCGCCCTTAGCGCGCTTCTCCTTGGAAGGAGTGGGGCCCTACCTGCGGGTGTGTGGCATCTTCGCTGTCCTTCGGTGACGCGTCGGAAATTCCCGCCAAGTCAACCCTCGGCCGAGAGTGCTGTTATACGCACGCGTGGATTGACCCTTCGGGAACCCTGGTTTATAACACGTCTTCGGTTATTGAGGACGCGGAAAAGTAGAAATTCTAAAGGCATTGTTCTGTAAGAAATTACTTATTTTTTCGCGGAGCTACGAGGCGTCTTTGTTCTCAAAAATAACCTTCTCGTGCGAGCGTGCCATAAACCCGATCAACGAAGACCCCACGCGTTCCGTACCTGCGCGACGGAACAATACTGTTCATTTCCAAACTTGTTGCAATACGTTATCGTAAACTGAAAAAGAACACTGGGCTCAGATACAAGAATCGGGACGCCGCATATATGCGGCGCTGGTAGCGAACGTATTAAGGGGGTCTTCTAGTGTGACGGTTTCAAAAAATCGATGGTTATTTTTGGCATATATCGAAAGTACGACTCTTTAAAATGCACTCCTGGAGTTTTATAGTTGTATTCAATAAAATAACGGCGATAGGGAGAATGGAGTTTCGCAACAGCAAACCGCGTGGTAATCTGTACATATATGAGGAATTTACTTGGATTTGTGATTGAGGTTACCGGTCGGTAAGCGTTGGCGGCAAAAAGCCGATTAATAGGCTACCGGTCGGTAAGCGTTGGCGGCAAAAAAGCCGATTAATAGGCTACCGGTCGGTAAAGTGTTAACAAAAAGAAAAAATAAACATGTATGTATCATACATTAACACGTTCGCTACCAGGGTCTGAGAAGAAAATCTTGCACCACAGCTCAGGGTGCTTTTGATTAGCTGATAGATGTTGAACATTCCAAATACCCAAATGTAGTTATCTCTAGACCAAGGACATTCTACATCTGTTTTATTGCTTTTAGCTGAACAATACTTGTCGCGTCGCGACGGTAATTTAGTATAGGAGAAAAATGAAAAAGAAAAATTAACGTTTATATAAATAATAAAAATTTTTTTTGCGATCGTTATATCGCAAGATAGCTCTTGAAAAGCGTAAACGCGTAGGACTATCTCGTTCGCGACGCCGTATCGATTACCCTTCACGTTGACAAAGTGAATGAGTTAAAAGGCATTAAAACGGCGAAACGCTATAAAAATGTTCACGGGTAATCGGATTGCAGTGGCATCGATCATGCGTCGCTGACCGTGTCGGACGTTGACGGAGTCCGTCAGAGCCTCGTCTCTCGTCGTCGTGGCCATAAATTTGTCCCTCTTCTCTATAGCCCTCGTCGTTCGTTTCTTTTTTTCATTTTCCTCTCTCTCTCTCTCTCTGTCGTTCTCGCCCTTTTTATATCGTAACGAAAGTATCGAGAAGCACAGAGGGTCGAGCTCGTAATTCGCAC